GCTCAGCCCACCAGGGGGCAGGGCTGGCTGGCATGTGGTGCTGGGGGATTGAACGGTGGTCCCTGTGTTTTGCTTAGCTTGTTCTAGGTAGGTGCTTTAGACCACTGAGCCATCTCACCAGCCCATTTGATTTTTTTTTTAACAGCTCTATCGCAGTATGTGAGAAGTAGTAAACTTTACATATTTAATGTGCATAATTTGATAAATTTAATGTATACTTTGATTATGGAAATCTCACCACAATCAGGGTAACAGACATATCCATCACCTCCAAAAGTGCACTGCACCAGGTGTGATGGTGCATGTCTGTAATCCTAGCCCTTGGGAGGCAGAGACAGGAGGATCATTGCAAGTTCAAGACCAGCGTGGGCTATAAAGTGAGCTAACGGCCAGCCTGAATTGCACAGTGAGACCCTGTCTCAAAAAGACAAAAACAAGCAAACAAAAGTGCCTTGTATCCTTTTGTTGTGTATAAGAACCCTTAGCACATCTACAGTTTCAACAAATTTAAGTGCCTAATACATTGACGGCAGGGACTATGCTGCGCAACAAATCTCTGGGTGATCGCACAAGTAGACTGCGCATTATACCAGTACTTAACCTTGCATGAGTATCATCTACTTCCTTTCTGCCTTCTAAACCTAACAGAGGTTCCTCTCTGGTTGTTCTAACCAAGAACCAGATAGGAAAAGAGATTCCAGAAAACGTCAGTCTCGGTCTGATCAAGATAACACAGCAAACCTGGCAGAGTAGGGAATGGATATGCGCAGAAGGAGATGAACTCAGTGTGCTGAGACACAGACAGAAGGTGAGGTTTAGGTTACACAAGCAAGGGGACCTTTGTGGGGAGCCCAGCTGGTGTCACTTGGGGCCTGGTAGGTCTTCTCTGTTTCATTTTAACTCTAAATTACAGGATTTTAAGCAAGTTGGTGGTATTCTGAGTTACTCTTTACAATGATGATTCTGGTTCTCATGAATGATATGAATGCAAGAGAAAAGTAGAAAAAAGAGGTAGCAGGGAAAAAACGCAGCTGTTGAGGTTGTTCAAAAAAGAGACAAAGAGGCCTGTGCTGTGAATGTGAAGGCTCAGGCAGGAAGGAGCTGTTAGGTCCTCATTTCTCTGATGGTGAGATATGGGACACTCTCCATCCACAGGAAGGTACAGCAGAGGTGAGTGGACGGGGAAATATGCTACTGTCTAAGCACTGAGCTCTCTCCTGAGCCTGTCTTTCTGACCCTGTATGAGAAGACTGAGGTACAATGAGGTTGCAGTACACTTCAACCAGTGCCATACAACTAACCAGCAGTGGGCTTCTGCTCATAGGCCAGGCAGCTCAAAAGCCAGACTCATAGCCCTTTCCACAGCACCCTATGGTCTCTCCAGTGAAGGCACTTGTGAGAAGTCATGTTCACTAGCTGGTATCTGCCCAAACATCACACTTGTCTGGCCTCTCACAGCTAGTTCAAATGTACAGGTTGACATTCTCTGTCCAATTTCAATTCTAAATTTGTCATATTCTCCACAAAAATGTTTTTGTCTCTAACCAAGCCCCTTAAAAGGCTGACCTGTCTTTTTTTTTTCTTTGAGAAACAAATATCAATGAGACAGTTTCAAAACTAATAGGACAGTTTTAATAATTAATACGTTGTACATTGTTATCTTCTTAGTGGTTATCCATCGTACAAGATGCAGACAGAATATCCTGTCCAAACACTGTTAGTACAAATCTTACTTCTCATTGAATTATTTTTTGCTTAGTCCTGTCAGAAATGGGTATTCCATTGGCATCTAAATACTACAGGTGTGTGAATTCTGTCCTGTCTTTATCTCAACATTACATCTCATTAGACAAAAGCTAAAAGTAAACAAATAAAAGACATAAGACAATTACTATTAAGCATGCAATAAAGGGTATGTTCAAGATATAAAAATAAAACCAAAAGAGGATTTGTTTTCTGATGAATCTCTATTTATTGATACCACTGTCCTTCAGGAAAAAAAAAAAACTCTCAAGGCACAAAGTACATATGCCAATACTGCTTTGAGTTTGTAAATTATTTGCTTAGAGTATATACATGTATCTATAAATCATAAGTGATCATAGTGTGAGCACAAATACATTTATCATAGTTACTTGGTGAAAGTATATACTGCAATACTGCTTTTAATTTTAAAATTATTTCTTAGAGTATACATAATTAATGATTATAATGTGAGCATCAATATCATAGATACTTAGTGAAAATATGTAGTCTTTGGTTATCATTATCCTGTGAGATGCAAGATAACTCGGTCACAAACTCTCCAAATATGAAACTTTTTAAGACTTTTTTCCCCAGAGAATTACATTGAAGGAACTGAAAAATTTCCCCAGTAATGATGCTTGGGAAGGGTCCTCAGTAGGCAGCACTCAGAATCATCTGCAGCATGAGACATGACAATATCTTTTCTTTCTTTCTTTCTTTCTTTCTTTCTTTCTTTCTTTCTTTCTTTCTTTCTTTCTTTCTTTCGTATTTTAAGACAGAGTCTACAGGGTCTCACAGTGTAAATCAGACTCATAGTGATCCTCCTATTTACAGGGGGTGAAGGCACTTGTGAGAAGTCCTGTTCACCAGCCGGTATCTGCCCAAACATCACACTTGTCTGGCCTCTCACAACTAGTTCAAATGTACAGGCTGATGTTCTGTCCAATTTCAATTCTAAATTTGTCATATTCTCCACAAAAGTGTTTGTTTCCCTAACCAAGCCCCTTAGAGGGCTTTCCTGTGTTTATCTCAACATTACATCTCATTAGATCCTCCTCAATCCTAGGGTTACAGGCATGCGCCACCACGCCCAGTCTCAATCGCTGGGGGTTGGGGCCGGCACAGCAGAGGAATGACAGTATCTGGGAAAGATAAGGCTTCAGTTCCAGGCAATGCACTCCTTTCTTCCTCAATTCACTGACCTCTCTATGGAAGTTTCCAAGCCCATATAAGCTAAGTGGGCACCAACAATCCCTCCACTAAGTTTGTTGTTCCTCCAGCTCTTGGAACCTTATTTTCCTTTTCTCTATAGTAGTTGGTGGGGTAACTGATAATCACAATTCACATCTGCTGCCGGGGATATAGTTCAGTGGCCTAAGCACCTGCCTGGCAAGCACAAGGTCCTGAGTACAACCCCGGTAAGGCAAAAAACAAAACCTGAAACAAATTCACATTTGCCTACATTGAGTTTTCAAAAAGACCTTGGCTACTGTGTTCTCTCACCATAGCCCACATCCCTGTAGCATATACTTGTTTTCCTGCTTTACCTGACCCAAATTCACTCAGCAGGGCATGTTTCTTTTCCTATCTAATAAGTGTATCATTGTTACCGTTTTCAATTTTTTAAAAAATTTTTAAAGAGTTGTTACCATTTAAAAAATAAATGTACTATTAATAAATGTACCACTGCTGCTAATTTTTAAAAAAATAAATGTACCATTGAAATGCTGTCTTAAAAAAATCTTGGCGGGCTGGAGAGATGGCTCAGTGGTCTAAAGCACCTACTTGGAACAAGCTTGGCAAAGCACAGGGACCACGGTTCGATCCCCCAGAACCACATGCCAGCCAGCTGCGCCCCCTGGTGAGCTGAGCTGGCCACACACACACACACACACACACACACATACACACACACACACACAATAAATAAATAAATAAATGTTAAAAAAAAATATTGGGGGCTGTCAGATAGCTCAGCAGACTAAAGCACCTGCTCAGGCTGAGCACAGCAGCAGGGATTCGATCCCCAGAGCGTCATGCTGGCCCCTCCCTGGGGCGAGCTGAGACGGCAACTGAGACTGGGTGTGGTGGTACATGCCTGTAACCCAAGTGCTTGGAAGGCTGAAAACAGGAGAATCACTGCAAGTCCAATCTATGTAGAGAGACCCTACAGACTCTGTACTAAAAATACATTAAAAAAAAAAACAAAAAACAAACAACTTGGTGGCTATCTTACTAGCATAGAAAGCTGGAGTTTGTCAGAAATGGTATTGAAGGAATTTTTATATTAAATGGAAGAAGGCTGGACTGACTAATCCTGTACCCCTTTTTGTTGTAAGATTGTATGATTTCAGATGTCTTGAATATTTTATAAAAAAACAGGCCAGAATATCCACAAGTATTCTAAAATGTGTTTATTTGTTAGAGAAGCCAAGTTAACTTCCTGTCATTACAATATGAGGATTGCTTTATCCCTGATCTCTGTAGTGACTGTGGCCAGAAAAAGAATAGAAGATATTATCAGGGGCAAGACAACATAGAGTAGCCAGGAAGACATGCTCTGATTGCCTTCTCTACATGTAATAACCATAACTGAGTTCCAGTCTTTTAGGCTTTGTGGCAGATTCGGGGAAATAAACTGTGGCTCCTACACTAGAGGAACTGAGAGTCTGATTAGAAAGAAAATTAACACACACTAATGAGAAAACAGGTGCTCACTCATATGCTAAGCACAAGGGAAATATGAATTTTAAGATGATTTGAGCATCTGAAAGGTTTTAAAAAATATTTTTATTTAGTTATTTGCAATGCCAGAGATCAAACTCAGGGCACTGCGCATTTTAGGCTCTGCCCCTGACTACACTCACTGCACTTCAGAGGAGTTTATTGAAGAAGTCCAACTTGAGCTGAGCTTTCAAGACCAGATCACTGGAACTAAGTAGAGAGAAGGCATGCCTGTGGGCAGCTGGGGAAAAGGCGCACAGCCAGACGAATGAGAGAGCATGACTTGTGCAGTGGAAGGGAGGCAGGCATGGAGTTGTGGCAGGACAGGGAAGAGCTTGCTTGATAGAAGCACAAAGAAACAGAGAAATAGTGTGGTCAGTGAGGGCAGGCAAGATGGACCCACATCACCTCGAAATTCTTAGAGAAGGTTCCCAAGGCCAGACACTGGTAATGTCCAAGTGTGGATCCCTGGAACAACCAGTGCGATCCCTCAGCACCTCATGTATGAGGCCTGCAGGCTGATTCAAATGCAGACACTGACAGCCACAGCAGTTTGGTGAGATCCAGCTCAGTTCCAAGCTATTTGGCTTACTGGTATGCAGGCAGGTGGGCCTCAATGACATGGGCCCTGTAATACTCTCTGGAGGCTGCAGGCTGAGGCCCTGGAAGCCCAGGCAGCTGTTGTGTGTGGGATGTGTCTGTGTGGACATTTGTGGATTATTAAACTGTGATGAAATTCAGTTGGCCAGTGGTGGAAGAGAAACAGCTAGTGCCTCCAACAAATTCTTAATTCTGAATTTTTAACATCAACTTTTCAGCTCTAGTTTTAATTTCATAATGATGCTTTACATTTTCTAGTCAAATCAACAAGTCCATGCTATTAGAGGCCATTTCTTCTTAGAATTATTTCAGTGTAATTAAAAACAAATTTTAACACAAGGTACTTGTTGGCAAAGTGGGTTTTTATGTAGTCCTCTTTTAACGAGGAACTTTGGATCTTTCAATCTTTACAGTTCTCTTGATTTTTTGAACTTTTTTCCCTTTCTTTTGCTTTTTTGCTTGGCTGACCTGTGAAGAAAGGGAGAAAAGGGTAATGTTTTTGAGTCTCACAATTTTTTCTTATTTACATTGTATCTGAACTCCCCCTGGTTGTGGTCTTTCTTTATTCTCAAAACTAATTTAAGCTGCCTTTCTCTCACAGGGTTCCTTTTGACTTCTCTATTTTGCTCATGTTGAGGAGGAACCAGTAGTATTTCAAATGCTTTTCTTTTGTCTATTCTGGTTTATTACTGTCCTCACTCCAGCCCTGCTTTCCACCTACTGGCCCCGACTGCAACCCTCTGAGGTTTATGCTATAATCATTTACTTTTTACTTATGAGGAGGTTTGAGGCTATGAGAGCATAACTTGCCCAAACCAAGAGCTGGTAGTCTGTCCAATTTCTAAACCCAGGCTCCCCACCACAGAGTATATGAGCTGCCTCCAACCCAGATCCTTAGCCTCTTATGCAGGATTCTTCCCACTTGGTCTTGGTTTCCTTTCTCACCTCGCTCTCTTCCTCTTTTCACATAAACTCCAGTCATATTATCTGAAGGTCCCTGAACATGGCAAGCTCTCTCATGATTCTCTTGTTCTTGCTGCTTCTCCCCCTGAGATTTACATATCTCTTATGATCCAAGTCAAATATGAGAATTCTTCCTTAACACTTTTTACCTACCTCTTTCCCTGAGCAAAGTTAATGACTCCTTCCTATATCACCTTCAAACGTCACATACATACCTTTATTTTATATTTCTCCCATTGCTACATATTGTTAAAGGATATCTGCTGCAGCAGAAAGGGTTTACATCTTATCGCTTTTGTGACTTCAGTGTTTACCATTCAATTAAATGCAATGTGAAAGGATGAAAATACATCTTAATGGCGCTATATACATTGTCTTTCAAAATTCACATCTAACAGCAAGATAATTTTGTTCCCCCTTTCACCAACCTGCTTCTTCCACTGTTTCACCAGTTGCTTCACTTTTGTGGAATCTGGGTTTAGACATGTTTGATCCCCATTCTTCTTTGTAGCACTGCCAAAGAAACAGCAGTGAGACTTCTTTTTCCATTACTAATTTAATATTTTTTAAAAGAAATAATGGTAATAACCATGAACTTGATGATGTTTCTAATTAACTTTAAAATATAATGTTTTCTTAAAACAAGTTAACTAGTTGCAAAATTTCAAGGTTTTTTTTCTCATTAATTTCTCTCTACAATCTGAGAATAAGAGTGGCTATTCCCTATATCATCTTTAACTTAGGTATCAAAGAGTTTAAAATATTCTTTAATATAACAATTCTAATCTCTAAAAAGGTATTTACTGGGAAAGAATTAAAGACAAGACTACCACAATAACAGTTTGACAACTGCAAAAATTTGGAAATAAGCTACATTTCTAACAACAGGATTGATCATAGAAAGTATGGCACACTCATCTGCCATTAAATTTGTCTATTACAATCACATTTCCAGGGCTGACAGTAGAACAGCAGTGATAGAACATGGCTCAAATGTCTATGTCTGATCCCCAGCATACAGACATAAGACAAAAGGGTTTTTTTCTTTGTTTTGTTTTCTCCAAATGCCTTCAGGGCAGGTTTGGCTGCCTTGAGTAGTGGGGATTGAACCACAGCAACCTGAGCCTGACTGCTTTGTTGAAGCAGCCACTTAAAGAAATGAGCTAAGGGGCAAGTCCCCTACAAACATAAGACAACATTAGAAAAAAATGACATTATTAGAGATTTACTGACATGAGAAGTGTACATAATTATAGTGTTAATTTAAAATGTAGATTACAAAGCTATATAGTAATCTGGGCCTCTAATAGCATTGACTTGTTAATTTGACTAGAAAATGTAAAGCATTATTATGAAATTGAAACTAGAGCTGAAAAGTTGATATTAAAAATTCAGAATTAAGAATCATTGGAGGCAATAGCTGTTTCTCTTCCATCACTGGCCAACTGAATTTCATCACAGTTTAATAATCCACAAATGTCCACACAGACACATCCCACACACAACAGCTGCCTGGGCTTCCAGGGCCTCAGCCTGCAGCCTCCAGAGAGTAATACAGGGTCCATGTCATTGAGGCCCACCTGCCTGCATACCAGTAAGCCAAATAGCTTGGAACTGAGCTGGATCTCACCAAACTGCTGTGACTGTCAGCATTTCAAGATGCTCTGTGGATGCCTGAAAGCTTGCGTGGTACCAAAACCTATTTTAGGCTGGTTTTTATATGTGGACACGATAAAGTTTAATTATAATTTAGGTACAGAAGGTAATTAACAATAAATAATATTAAAACAAAACAAATACAATAGTATACTATAATAAAAACTTAAAAGTAATTAAATGTTTTATTTCTGGAATTTTCCTTTTTTTTTTTTTTTTTTTTAGCAGAACCAGGGATTGAACTCAAGCCCTTGTGCTTGCCAGGGAAGCACTTATTCCTATGAGCCATCTCCCTGGCCCTTCCATTTGATATGTTTAGACCACAGTTGACTGTGTATAACTGAAACCTAGAAAAGAAAATTGGCAGATAAACAAAGACTACTATGTGGCATACGCTTTACATGTATAAAATATAAATTATAGGTGTATGCCACTATACCAAGGTAGGAGCCCATTTTCAAGACTCCTTGAATCTGTATATTCCTAGATCACAATCCAAATTAGCCTCAAATAAATGCCATTTTCTAAGTTCTTTCTTAGTTAGTTTAGTTTGTTTTATTTTATGCAGGGTCTCACTATGCAGCTCAAACTTGTAGTGATCCTCCTGTTTTCACCCTCCCTGGCGCTGGGATAACAGGCATGTGCCACCACTCCCAGACTTGGTCACTGGCTCAACGTGCCAGGGCAAGGCAGGCACGGCATGTGGCGCCAGGGCCCACCTCCCGGCCCCTGAGTTTGCCTATGTAGGTGATTAGCCCACTGAGCTGTCTCACCGGCCCTCATTTTCTCTATTCTTCATAAACATTTTCTACAATGAACATATTATTTAAGGAATAGAAACCACCTTGGTTTCTAATCTCTAACAGAAATTTAATTTTTTTTTTTTTTCAGAACTGGACTGGGGATTGAACTCAGGTCCTTGTGCTTCCCAGGGAAGCATTTATTCCACTGAGCCATCTCCCCAGCCCCCAGAAATTTAATTTTTAAGAGAAGAAAAAGACATGAGTGAATAGGTTTATGGAGGGGCTAATCATGTGAAATTTAAGTGTCTGCATCAGCAAGTACCACAGGATAATATTCATAGTAACTGTAATGTCCCTGACAATATGGGACATGCCACTTACGTTTCAGTTTTTACTTACATGATTTCAGTTTTCTCACATGAAGGACTTGGGGCAAATTGTTTAAGGTCTTTTAAAGATCTGAGGGAGATTTTATCACTGCCAGGGTTGATGCAGAAACATCGTCTACTTCCTATTAGTGGGGTGCCTGAGAGAAAGAGAAAGAGTAGAGTACAAACATTTAGGTCACTGTTTCCACTGGAGCAATCCATCAAAATGATGAATTTAACTTAGTCATGGTTTTTGCTGTTACTTACTAAGTGTTTGTAAATCTTCACCATAAGCTTTTAATGTGGGCATCATATCCATTTTGTGAAGATAAGGCTTAGGAGAAGTTAAGTAAAGAACAAAGATACACATTTTTTAGGGAGCAGGAATAGAGTTTCAGCTCAAGCCTGAGTCCAAAAGTTCTCAGCCACTTTCCATTTCTCTTTAGAGGAATAGAGATATTCACAATACTTAACAAATTCCCATTATATGTTAGACCCATTAGTACATTATTTATGCATGCTATGTGAACAAGTTTCTTAAGCAACTTCCAGATCCATTTTTATCTGATCTTGGTTGAATGGAATTCCTCAGGTATGGATAGAAAGTTCTGCTGATAACGAATTGCCACTTCCATCCATCTCTCCTGCCCACTGTCTAGATTTTTCAGTAGCATTTTTAAACTACTGAAAAAAAAAAAAAACTTTTTTGAGAGAATAATTTCATTAAAATTTTTTTTTTGCGACAGGGTCTTGCTATGTACTTAACACTGACCCTGAGCTCACTATATAGCCTAGGCTGGTCTTGAACTTGCAACAATCCTCCTGCCTCAGCCTCGGGAGTGCTGATTTTACAGGCATGCATCACCACCTGGCTTTTGGAAATGCTTTTTGGAAATTTTTAAAAATACATTATCTTCATGCTTTTTTTTTTCTTTCATTCAGTATGTATTTACTTAGCACTTACTACACCACCTTTTTTTTTTTTTTTTTTTCATACTGGGGATTGAATCCAGGGTCTCAAACTAAGTTGTATTCCCAGGCTTTAAAAAAAAAAGTTTTTATTTTGAGATAGAGGCACACTGAGTTGCCTAGGCTGGCCCCAAACTTGTGATCCTCCTATCTCAGCCTCCCCAAGTTTCTGAAATTATAGGCATGTACCACCATGCCAGGCATATGGAACACACAAACTACAAGATTTCCACTTTACAGATAAGGAATCTGAGTTCTAGAAAAGGCTTTTGGCTAAGGTAACATAAGTAGTTAGTAGATAGTTTAGGAGAACCTCTCCATTTCCTGGCTTTTCACTCAGTTAACCATAGACATATATATCAAGAAACAACAGCAATGACAAAATAATTTAGTACATAGAGAGTTTTTCATTTCATCATCTGATGCCTGGTTTCACATCCTTTAAACCACTCATTTGTATGAAATGAAAGTGAAACATATAGAGATTCCTTCTGAAATCTTCCCATTATAAATGTTCCAGCATTTATTAAACATTTACTAGGAATTCACACACCTAGACTGAGACTTTTGTTTGACTTAGCAGGCTCAAGTTCTGACCTTTGGATAATCGACTACCAATATGCTCTTGTAAGTGACTGTTCCTTTCTGATGTATACAGAACATTCATGGTTCATGGCTATCTGGTGAACCAAGAGGTTTTCTTTTCTTTTCTTTCTTTCTTTCTTTTTTTTTTTTTGTGGAACTGGGGATGGAACTCAGGCCCTTGTGCTTGCCAGGGAAGTGCTTATTCCACTGAGCCATCTCCCCAGCCCCTCCAAGAGATTTTCATAGTGATTCCCATGTCTAATTTCATTAATTCAGTATAACTCAAAACCCCTTACCTTTAACTTCAAACAGAATCAGGAAGGTGATGCCCAAGAGGAAAGCAACTCCATGCCCCTTCATTGTGGTGGAAGGAAATTCCACAAAGTCACTCTTATGATGAATTTCAAGCCTGAGAAAATCTTTAGAGAACAAGTTCTTGGGGATATTTATTTGGGAAATCCATTTCCCTCCTAATCTCTGATTGGCTGTTATCCTTAGCTGATCTAGTTAAACTAACCACACACTTGATTTTCCTGGGGGAAACCCTACTCTCAGATCCAAGGGAATTTCTGCTTGTTTTATTTCCATTTCATATAAATGGGTGCTTTATAATAAGGGATGTGAAATCAACAGCACTGGCAGCCTTAATAAACATATAGCTACTCACTTGGGTGAAGGGCTTGATGAAAATAGTATTATGCAATATGAGCTGGAAATGTGGTTTCCAAATGAAAAATGTTAAGTCCAGGTAAGCGATTCCTTTATTATTTATAACACACCTTTCTCTATAATAAATATCTACATTTATCTTGTATTTTCTATCCTACAACTTAAAGCACTTTAGTATCTTTAGGGACCCAGCTATTTTCTACTAGTTAGTTCCTTTTTTTCATTGCTGCCACAGTTTATTTTTTTTTTTTATTCTTAGGTCAATTAGCATAAGAGTTCACTTGTGATCAAGAGATCCAAATTAGCAGAAGCTGAAATAAAAACTTATTTCACTAAGGTAGAGGTGGTTATGTATTATGATTTGGCTCTAAAAGGCCCTCCCGAAAACTAATATGCTGAGAGATGGGGCTTCTGAATGGTGACTGCATCATGAAAAGTGCCTAAACTCAACAGTGGGATAATCCACTGATGGGTTCATAATCTGATGGCATTCTTGGGAGATAACAGAATCTTCCAGGGGGCTGGATTAAGAGCATAGGAGAGCATGCCCTTGGGACTACACTTCATCTCTGGCCTCTCTCCTTTTCCTAGCTACCATGAGGTGAGCAGCTTTCCTCTGCCATGCTGTTCCACTATGTTTCTGCCTCACCACAGGACAAACCATGGAGCCTACTACCCATGGACCAAAGCCTCGGAAATCATAAGCCAGGCCCCATCATCTAGTTGTCAGGACGCTGGACTCTGAAAGCATAGCCAAAATAAACTTCTTGCTGTAAGTTGTTTTTCTCAGGTATTTTGTCACAGGATTGGAAAGAAAACAAAGTAAACCAGCACTTGTATCGTGGCTCTTTCTTATAAGGATCCAAACTACCTCTTACAGCTATGCCACCATTTTGGAATTGCTACATTCATGTATATTCCCAATAATGGCTTGCTGCCACATCCATTTTCCAAGTACAGGATAGCAGAATGGCACAAAAAGTCATTTCATTCCTGTTTAGTCCCATCTTAGAAGTTGCACCCATCACTTTCCATTTTCTGTCCTGTAACAGAATATAATAATCACACGGTCATATTGGCTTAGGGGAAGAAATGGTAACTCTATTCTGGTTTACCACCTAAAGACTGGAGGCTCTATCACTGTAAAAGTGTTTATTGACTGAGTGGCTAATCTAAGCAGGAGTCCATGTCACTCAGTGGGCCTATGGACTTCCCTGACTCTGATCCTTCTCAAGCTCTCTTGGCCTTCACTTTAGTGTTGCAGCAGGCACTTTACCAAACCTCAAAGGTAGAATAAACTTACATTGAAGGTAGTTGCTGCCATTCCTGCTCCAAATGCAAGAGGCAGGTCTACAAAATTGATAGAGCTAATAACTGAAAATGAGACAGATTTGTTTGTTTAAGCACCAATACTGGTTTTGTCATCTCTGAGGAAAAGCCAAAAAAAATAACACAAACAAGGGGCCTTGTTATAGAAAAGTAAGAATTACTGAAATATCTTCAAAGAATAAAAGGTTTTTTGTTTTGTTCTGTTTGACCACCATATAACATATTAAGTAAAAAATGGCAGTATTTCTAAATTTCTAAATAAGTAATATATTTTTTCAGTGTTGGGAATTAAACTCAGGGGCACTTTACCATTAAGCTATATCCTCAGCCCTTTTTATTTTATTTATTTCATCAACATATATTTTCAGGACTGGGGAGATAGCTCAGTAGAATAAGTGCAGGGGACTGAGTTCAATCCCGAGTACCAAAAACAAACAAGCAAACCATATATTTGCAGTATGTAATGTTTACTTTCCTTGTGTGGAGTTGGTACATGTATATAATTGTCTTGGTTACTTTTCTCTTATTGCTAAGACAACATGTTTGAAGTCCAGAATTAAAATTTATTTTGCTCACAGCTTGTAGAGGTTTCAGTCCACACTCCGCTGGCTCCAAAGTAAAGTGGTACTTGGCAGAGGGCAGGTGTTCACGGTGGCAGAAAGCAGCAAAAGCAACATGAGCAAAAGGGAAGAGCATGAGAGAAAGCCTCTTTCTCTCCCTTATATTATACACAGGCTACCCCCACCAGGGTGGATGTGGCACTCACCCATAACTCCAGCATGAGACCATGAATCAATCAAAAACTCTAGAAGGTGGTTATGACTGCGAAAGGTTATGAGGAGACATCTAGACACAATCCTGTTGGGAGCTGCTGAAGCTGGAAATTGGTCAAATGTGTGAGAGCAGGACTAGGCCTCAGTGCCTCAAGCAGTTGAGCTACTTCAATCCTGAGAAAAGCATCCTGCTTGGTTAAACTCAGCTCTGAATCACTAGGCAACCTTTGTCTTGTGATACTAACTTTGCAAAGGTATAAACACCCTTATTGTCGTTTCAGGGTTGTTTGCCAATCAGATAACTGGCCAACATCTAACCTCAGCTATTATTCCTTGTCTTTATTTTCTAAATTCTTTTGCAGTTTTTTCTCCAGGGACCACCAAGAGACCAAAAACTCCCTACACAACTCATCACAATAATATGTCTTAAAAACTTTTTAAATTTTTCTTTCCCTTTCCTACCTCCCTCTTCTTTCATCTCTAGATCCTTTTCTCATCTGAGAAAGATCAATCTCCCTTCTATCTTTAATTTTTCTATTTATTTATAATTTGGCTTTCTCATATAAGAGAAATCATATGATATTTAAGCTTGTGTGTCTGATTTATTTCACTTAACATTATGATCTCAACGTGCAACCACTTTCCTACAAATGACTGATGAGGAAATGCTCAGAATCATTGGCCATTACAGAAATGCAATTTAAAATAACAGTATGATTTCATTTTTCCCCAGAAAAAATAACCATCAAAAATCAAATATTGTAATAACAAATGCTGGTAAAGCTGTGTAGAAAATGGAACTTCTACATTGTTGGTGGGAGTGAAAACTAGTATCGTCATATGGAAATCAGCATGCAGAGTCCTTAAAAACTAACACTAGAAATTCCATTTAACCCAGCAGTTCCCTTTTTTGGTATCTTCCTGAAAGCGTTAAATGCTTCATATTACAGTGATACGTCCACACCCATGTTTACAGCAGCACAGGCTTGGTAGGAGCCTATATGTCTATCACGAGGTGAATGGATAAAGAAAATGTGCTGTTTATACAAGGGAGTACTGCTCTGCCATAAAGACATTTTTTTTTTTTAAATCTTGAGATAGGGTCTTACTAAATTGCCTAGGTAGGCCTCAAATTTTTGATCCTCTTGCCTCAGTTTCCCAAGTAGCTGAGATTACAAGCATGGGCCACCAGGCTTTCCCCAATAAGCAACTTTTGAATTAACAGGAGCTAATTCCTAATTCATCTTAGTATACAATATTTAAAAATGTATTTTATTTTAAACATAAATGTTTAAAAAGCTTTTATTTAGGAAAGAAACTTGATTTTAGAAGGGTTTTTTTTTGTTTGTTTGTTTTGTTTTGTTTTGTTTGCTCCGAATGCCTTCAGGGCATGATTGGCTGGCTTGAGTTGTGGGGATTGAACCACAGCAACCTGAGCCTGACTGCTTTGTTGAAGCAGCCACTTAAAGAACTGAGCTAAGGGGCAGGCCCCCAGAAACTTGATTTTAAAATATAACAAATGTATCAATTCTACCTGGAAAACACTCCCTTTCCTGAAATTATTTTGTGCAGCCTCTTTCTTTCTTTCTTTCTTTCTTTCTTTCTTTTCTTTTTAATATATTTAGTACAAGGTCTATAGGGTCTCACTACATAGCTCAGACTCATAGTGATCCTCCTGTTTTCAGCCTCCCAAGTGCTGGGATTATAGGCACATGCCACCACGCCCAGTCTCAATCACTGTCTCAGAGGCAGGCACCGCATGCCACAGATTGAACCCAGGTGCTATGCTCTGCCTAAGCAGGCACTTTAATCTGCTGAGCAATCTGGCCGGCCCTAGCCTATTTCACTTGACAGAAATGATATTGTATGATGAGGAAAATTCTATTGATACCTTATGTGGGGCCCCTTGACTCAGCAATAACAGAAATTTTGAACCAGACCAAGAAGTATGAGGACATAGGCAAAGCTTTTAATTAAGAAAAGAAAATGGGGAAAACACTCTAATGGAAAACAGCCAAGGGTACATCGTGCTGATGGAGAGAGTCAGACTGGCTTGTTAATAAAGGGATTGGTTTTTATGGGACTAAGCTCCAGGTGGACTGGGCTCTGGTTGATGATTATCTCTGTTTTGGCTCTGGAGAAATCCTTTACACTTAAAGGGGATCTGGTTCCCATGACATGATTACTCCTGCTTAAAATACAGGATGTCTGTCCATTCCTGTCACACAGTAATTGCTCCTCCTTGGTTGGTGGTCTACTGAAACCCCTGCTGAAGGTATCAGTCTAACTCACCTGGCAATATGGCACATGGATGCAAAAGAAAAGACAGAGTATATTGTTGAGGTGCTCTGCAATGACCTAGTGTTCTCTGTGGAACTAAAGGCAACATTTCCCGGGCTGGGGAGATGGCTCAGTGGAATAAGTGCTTCCCTGGCAAGTGCAAGGGCCTGAGTTCAATCCCCGGTTGCACCAAAAAAACAACAACAACAACAACAAAAAAAAACAACCAGCCAAACAAAAAACCTATAAAAATTATCAATCCTAAAAAAAAATTAAAAAAAAATAAAGGCTTCATTTCCTAAAGTTCATGGCTTTATTGGTACCAATCAGGGAGGAGCTGGGGTC